ATGTTATCAGTTTACTTGGGCAGAAGATTTGTCAGAGTCCCGGATAGTGGTTATCAGTTACACTGCATGCCGAACCTGCATTTAGACACTGCACACTGCTCCAGGGAGGCCAGCAGCAGGGAACAGAAAGGAATGGGTGCATGGCATGCCAAGGGTTTGGGTCATGGGCAAACCATATGTGGATGTGGAGGGAGCCTGGACGTGCATTCATCCACGGGCCGGAGTGTGGGAGGAGCTGGCCAGTGTCCCTGCAAGGACACTCTCAATCATCTTGGAAAGGTCATGGGGATCAGGAGGGGTCCTTGAGGACTGGGAGAAAGGAAATGTCACCCTGTCTGCAAGAAGGGGAAGCAGGAGGATCTGGGGAACTAGAGGCCCATCAGCCTCACCTTGATCCCTGGCAACCTGCTGGAGTAATGCATCCTGGATACTATTTCCAGACATATGAAGGACAGGAAGGTGATCAGCATGGCATTGCAAAAGGGAAATTGTGTTTAACCAGCCTGATAGCTTTCTGTGATGAGATGCTTAGCAATGAAGGGACTAGAGCATCTGTCTTATGAGGTGAGGCCAAGAGAGCTGGGACTGTTCAGCTGGACAAGTAAAGGCTCAGATGGGATCTTAGTGATGTTTGCAAGTATCTGACGAGTGAGTTTGTAAATGCTTATAAATAATGAAAGAGCAAGGGGCCAGATTCTTCTCAGTGGTGTCCTATTGTAGGAGAAGAAGCCACAGGCACAAGCTGAAACACGGGAAAGTCCAGCTGAACACAAGAAAATCGCTTCTTCACTGGGAAGCTGGTTGAACACAGAGCAGGTTGTCTGGTGAGGCTATGGCATCTCCACTCATGGAGCTGCTCAAACCCAGGTGGACAGCGTCGCGGGCAGTGTGCTGTGGCCGACCCTGCTGGCGCGGGTGGGTTGGAGCAGAGGATCTCCAGAGGTCTCAGCCAAGGCCCGCGGTGCTGCGGTTCTGCGCTCAGTGGCACCACGGGGAGAACGTGCCATGGGGAAGGGCGGTGCGGAGAACGGAAGCAGGGACTGCCTTGCAGCGGGAGCGGGGCTGGAGCTGCCTGCAGCAGCGTGGGCGCTGAGAGCAGAGCCCGCTGACAAAGCAGCAGGGACCATTTGGATGGCAGCAAAGTTAGATTCAGTTTTAGCTGGAAACAGGCTGTCTTCTACTGGGGATCTTGGAGCAGGTCCTACTCACCCTTCTGGGCAGCTTCCTACTGGTTGTCAAGTGACAGAAATGAAACTTTTAATGTGAAAGAAATATAAAAAAAAATCTGCTTAGTTGTACTCAAATCTTTTCTGCCAGGGACATTCTTCATTAAACACACATGGTGGGATTTTTTTTCATAAGAGCTTGGCACAGCCTTTGCTCTGCTCCCACTGGAATCTGTGGAAGTGCCACAGGTTTTGGTGGGAGCAGAGCTAAATCAATATGGAGTGCTTTGGAAAATCCAGCCCGGAATGGATCCTGGCAGCAGGACTAGATAGGGTTTGGAGGTGATGCTGAAATTGTCACGTAGAAATTTTCCATGCTGGCTAGCAAATGCTCTCCTTTCCCTCAGTTCAGAGCTAATGGAAAGTAGTTTATAGCGAAACATAGCTTGGAGGGAAAGTCAGCATAGAAAGAAAGAATAGCCTGATTTTTTCCTTCCTCTCCATATTTTGTGAGGACAAAAACCTTACTGCAAACCTTCCCTGCTGCCTGAGGCTGCCACTCCAGGAGCGTCCGTTGTGTGAGGGCCCCTCCCTCATGGGAAGGATAGGAAGGGACCATAACCTGGGAGAAAGCAGCGCCCTGAAGGCTTTCATTGGGGTGCTGCACTATTTGCTGATTTCTAGGAGTCTCTGAGCCACTGCATATTCAGCAGGCTTGGAGGAGGGCTGACAGGGCTGGCACTCCTGGCTTTCCTTGGTCTGCATCAGTCCTGCCCCACCGCATAGTAACATCACTTCTGAAGACAGGGCTTCACAAGATAATCTGGGTTTCGACACGTGTTTTCTTTTTGGCATACAGGCTCCCAAATACAAAGGGGGTGCGGGAGTGTTTCACAGCTTAGTGTGCAAGCACAGCCTGTGCCAGCTGTTTAGATGCTGCCCCAGGACTGCCTGAGTTTTCCGGCTCTTCTGCTGTAAGGCTCTTCCTGTAGGGCAATGCAGGGAAAATAGACCAGCATTTTCTGCAGGAGTACTGTTGCACTCCCCTGAGCTGTTGTCATCACTTACTAGGAAGTCTTCAGCAAAGGGCTGATTTTCTGCATTTGTTCAAGCTTTCTTATGTGTATTTTGTGGTGCTTCCTTTTGGATACATCACTTAGCTTCCCTAGGCTAGATAACTTCAGATCTTCAGATAGGAAGAAAAGCCAAATAAATACTAAATGATTATCTCAAAAATGAGCAATAGCCTCTGTGTCCTACAGCAATCCACTTCTTTTTCCTTTCTCTTTGAAATTGCTTCTTAACAGCTCCCTTGGCCGCCTTGGTGTTAGCAGAGGCCGCAGCATGTGCAAGCCTCCCCTCCAAGTGGGTGGCATGAATAAAGAACAATACGTAGTTTCTTCTGGAGGCAGCAGTGGGGTTTTTAAGTTCACTATGTGCTTTAGAGGAATGCGCTGCGGTTCACTCACTGGCCAGAGCTGGCCTGTGGCACGCTTCAGCAGTCTGTCACCTTGCCTTTGCAGAAGGTAGCAAAGAGAGCCAGGGCCACGTGCACACCGCTGGGGCAGGGAGGACCTCAGAACGGGGATTCAAACCTCACCAGCGCAAGGGTAGGAGCGCCATGAGCTAAGAGGTCACGACAGGCACCTTGGGGTCCCCAGCACTTGAGGAGTTTGTGTAGTCAGGGTTTTAATTTGAGTGTGTTGGTTGTCACTGACTAGCTGAGTCTTTGCGACCATAGCCTGTTCTGCCTCTTGAATTCAGATGTCCTGCTGTGACACTGTTTTTTTCCAGTAAATGTTAGTGCTCACTTGGCATACTGTTTTAACAATGGCTCATTTTTGTCACTGTCATCATCCCAGCATTCAAGTACCTTGTCTTTCTAACTGCAATGTCAGTGTCGGCAGGACCCTTGGTCTCATTAACATGGCACTTTCACAGTGCAATTAAGAAATTGGTGGCAATGGCACCAGGCTTAGAACCCCACTTCTGCAGCAAGGAAAGTGATGGCTGTACAAACAGGACTAGTGTATTTTGAAAGGGTCTGCCTGGGTATAAAAAATGTTGGTGTCATTTGGCATAAATTGTAATCAGTTCCAGACCCTGCCACACTCAGAAACTTCAATCATGGAACCGTGATCAGTGGTTTCTGTATTTTTAGGGTTCTCGCCTAAACCACAGCTCTTGTTGCAAGTCAAGGGCTACATCTGTGGTGTCCAATCCCTTGTCTTAATAGTGTTAAGAAAATGTTTGCTTAACTGTGAATTGAAACTGTATTCCCAAGCCCTGCAGCTTTTCAGGTGAAGTTTGCACTACTGGAACGAAGTAGGTGGGCTCGGGGGGGTGCCTGAGTTCAGACGAGCTACATATTTCACTTAAGTCCTTGGGCTATGATTCCTTTGGCAAGGCCTTTCTGAAGGCCTGGCGCCAGTCAAGAGCAGCGCCATGGCATTTCCATGTGTGTGTGTGTGTGTGTATATATACATACATCTATACACACATATATACACACAGCTGGGGCAGCAGGTGTTGCTGGTGCCCACGGGGAGCAGCCGAGGTGCAAGGAGCGGGCACTGGAGGGGCCTGCCGAGGGAAGGAGCTCACTGGCAAAGGCTGCAGGAAGGCAGGCCTCCTTTTGGCTCCGTTGGACATGGAGCTGCTTGCTTGGCTTTGGTTTTGTTCGCTTGTTTGTCCGAAACAACAAGGAGTAGGATGGTCAGCACCTATATTGGCTGAGAATGATAAGCTCCCAGGGTATTTTAAATGTGTCTTAAAAAAAGGAGAGAAACCAGCAAGGAGCCAGTCTCGTGCCTCAGAATTACATGCTCAGGGCAGTGTTTGCCCCAAAGAAAAGTGCTCAAAGGTGCTGGGCTTTGAGCACTGTTTCCTCAGTTGTCCTGCTCGCTCTCAGGAGCGGCGCAGATCCCACGCTGTGCCTGTTCCCTAGCCCTGCCTTTACCCTCAGTGCTGTCCATGATCTCTTACGCTACTCCTGAGACAGGGAAAATTCACCCTATTTCTTTGCTCTTTACTCACTTTCTAATACGAACAAGCCGATCGACTAAAATGAGACTTACCTGGTGCTGAGTACTTACTTAAAGGAATACAACTTTTTTTTTATTTTTATTTTTTTCATTCAGTGACTGACGTAAAATATTGGAAAATAAATTTGACTCAGAACCAAAACAAGTATTTCTTTTGTTGGTAAAATGAGAAATAAAAATCTAATTTTGGGACAGTTGGACCCACTTTCTTGCGTTTAGTTTTATCCTTTTCCTTTCAATATAGGGCACGTCTAAAGGACATAGCAGAAATGTTTCATTTGGAAAATATCAAAAGGACGTGTTTCAGCATTTCCAAAGCAAACGACTGCATTCTGGAGCAGGATAAAGCAAAACATCTATCAGTCTTGCAATTGCTTTTTCTCTCTTCTACCACTGAAAAATGGCTAAGGCCACAGCAAGGTACAGTTCATCACGAAAAGAAAATTATCCCCCTTCTCTCTAGTATTTCTGAAAGCCAGGCCATCCACTGAAGATTGCAGATTTAGTGGGAAACATGCCTAAACCAGGAAAGAACAAAAATTCCATGGAAGTCAGCTTCCAAGTCAAACAGTTTCTGTAGGTCTGTGTTTGAAATCTTCCCCCTGGAAGCCAAACTTCAGCATCAACTAATTCAAGTCCTGGCCTTATTAAAACAACATGAGAAGGAAAAAACAGCCAGACAAATCCCTGTAACTATTGCACTGTAAATTAATTTTAGCACTATACACACCCTAGGGTTTGATTCTAGTAACATGAACACAAATACAAGAATAAATCTACAATTAGCAAATAGCTATTTTCTAAAAAAGGGTGATTTTATTGAGGTTTAATATACAGCTTTAATATGTTAGGGTAATCATACAAGATCTCTCTTGTGTTCAATTTACACATTACAATACAGACGTGAGCTCAAATCTTTTGCTTTAATGTACAAAAAGAATCCAATGTTGTCCACTAGCAGCTTTGAACTTGGCAAGAAAGGTTCTAAAAACTTTTTAAGTGCAGTAACAACCATACAGAATACAGAATGAATATAAGGACTTTTCGCCAAGGTACATAAACATTTGAAAACAAATGGTGCCTGCTCCACAGGGCAGACAAGTAGCAAATTCAAAAAAGTCACTGACCAATGTTCCAGAGAAGCAGGAGCATTACCCTGTGTAACAGTTCTTACAAAATGGCCTAAGAATATCTGTATCAAAGATTTTGTACTGATCAGAAAAAAAGATCTGAAAAGAAACAGTAGGCAAGGAACTGAACAATCAAAAAAATGACATAGTAATATAAAATATTTCCATCACTATTTAAATGCCAAATTAACCAAGCAATAGTAAAAACAAAAACAAAAAACAAAATACCAAAGCTCTTCTGTTTAAAATAACAGCACTGTTTTTGCATAATGATTTTTTTTTCTTATGAACACACTATATACTTTATTGTTTCTTTCATACAGAGAAATGTGTCCATTTGGTCTGTCACTTCAGTGAAGCTGACATATAATCAGCCCATCATTTCTCACCTTTGACACATTTTAATGCTTTTTTCCCATATGTTCACTAATCCGGTGCCTTCTCTTCTCAAGTTAAATACTTTCCTTCCTTTTCTTTATACAGTGCAGAGTATATGGGCTTAGAATATGGAGATTTTCCTCTACTCCAGTTCACTGTCTAGTTCTGAGTTCAGTGGTGTGCAGTAGTTTGGCTTATCTGAGGGTACGTAGCCTGGCAGACACAAACACTTGTAGGAACCCTCCGTGTTAATGCATTTGGCGTTCTTGCAGAGAGACATCCTGTTGTTCAGTTCACTGCACTCGTTCACATCTGCAAAAAAGGGCACATCAACACACATGTACATAAGCCCAGTGTGTGTAGAAAAAGTCAACTTATTTCCAGCATTCTCAAGAACAGAATATGCTGTATAAGTGAGTGGAGAACTTACTTACTCAGCTCACATTAGGCAGAGTTAAGCTGGGTCAAAAGTTGCAACACAAAGATATTTAAATGGTAAGACAAAGAGGTTGTCATAGGGAATCAATAGTATATTAAATGTTCTTACACAGCTACACTGCTAGATTACCAGGTCCAAATTAAGCCTGAGCTGCCAAACAAAACCAGTCCATTAAAAATCCCTTGCTGGATTTTATTGATGACTGAGAATTAATGTGTAAGAAATTATCTAGCAGTTCTTAAGTGTCTGTTAACAAAATCAAATACTTCAGGCATTTTTGGTGTTGCCAGCTACATCCCTGTGAACAGCAGACTATTTGCACTCAATATTGGGCAGCCCTGGCCTGCAGTTCCTCTCTTTTCTAGCAAAGGAGACCAGTCTTAATGATTGCACGTAGCCTCAGCACGATACAGTGAGGAGACCTCGGCTGTGGGTGATGAAGCATAATGCAAAGCAAGGTCAGTATAGACACCTCAACCTGAAACACCCGTGCACAGTCACTCCCGAGCTGCTGCACTGAGACACATCGATGGTTTTGCTTCATCTCCCCTTGCCACCCCCTCTCCCTGTGCTTTGTTGCTACCTGAAGGCCAAACACGGACGCCTTGGTTATTTGTTGCACAGATTTGCTATTTTGAGAGTGGAAGGATAGTCTGGTCCCTAAATTGTTGAAATCTCTTATCTCACTGAGGATTTTGTTCTGCATTTCCCGCTGTTACTTTATTAACAGAATTTTAAGCTTCACTTCATAAGTGTGTACCTTAGTTTCTAGGCCCTTAACTGAAAACAACTGAAATGACTAAGATGAACTGAGGAACATCAACAAAGTTGTTTCTGTAACAATTACATGCACTGGCCTTCGCATTAAAACAGGCAGAAGTTTGGCATCTTCAGTGCCATTCAGGTGATCATCTATAGCGCTCTTATTTTAGCCCCTCTTAAGTCAAGTGACTGAGTAACCTGACAGACGAATATGAAGTAATACATATTATCCTCACCAACACAAGTCATTTTTGCCATGTCCAGGTGATAACCATCAAAGCAGTCACAGGTGTAGCCCTCTTGGACTCTCACGCAGCGGCCGTTCTCACATCCGTTCAGAATACCACATTCCTCTGCTTGTAACTCCTCAAAGCTATTCAGAAAACCTGGGTAGAGAAAGAATTACACACAATAAGTCAGTCACAGAGCTGTCCAGTCCGTTTACTCAAACATATAGACAGGCTCTGAAATTCTCTTAGAGGTTTCATGGAACGTGGCTTGACTTTGTGAAAAATAGGTCAGCTTTAGCAGAACTGCACCTACTGGTGTTTTAAATGCACTAGGAAAGTATCATGATATGGTCAAAGATGAGAACTAAATTACTTTTTGAACTCTAGGCTTCTTTTGTAACGAGTGATTATAGTTTGCAAATGAAAGTATATTGACAATATAGTTTTTAAATGCTAAATCAAGGTTTTCTAAATATGTAACATGCTTTATTTGAATACTGTGAGCATA